CTATAGCAATCGACTATGTTGCTTATTTTGTTTATAAATAGGCTTTCGAGAATGCCAGTAGATCATAGATATGAGATGTATTCATCTATTTCCTTTAGGGTGATAATGGGACTGATAGTTGAATTTTAACAATGCTATAGAAAGACAATGAAAACGGATGAATATATCTCATATATATGACCCATTGGTAGTCTCGAAAGCCTACTTATAAAGAAAAGATTCAATCTTGCTTTAAAAGGCGCATCTGAACCTCCATACCACAAAGGATCATACCGTTGAGCAATAGGGAGGCTGAGGTCTTCATCATTTTATAATTAATAGATACGAATAGAAACTAGGTTTAAATAAATCTCCTGAGATAACATTGCTGTGGGAACTTTCATTTCGTATGAGCCTGACATTAGCCTTTTTACAAATCTGATTTAGGACCGGTATTCCGTATAGACGCTAACATACACATATACACACACGCACACAAAAGTAGCAGGACTAGTATGAAAGATAATTAGCCAAACCACTCTATATCTATCAATCTAAGATTTTGATTACCTTTTGCTTAAATTAGTCTATATAAGAGGTAAGATAGAGCCGGATAGTCTTCCTGCCCTAGTTTTAACGTGAGATAGTTACAGGAATACACCCAGCTCTGATGATGTCCATCATACGATGGACGAAAGCTCAGCCTGTTTTCACCTGAAACGATGGAGGAGGTCTCGTGGACTGCGTCAACCTGAACATCGTATAAAGTTCAAACGGCTGCAGTACAACGAAATTCATCCGTCGACCAACGAATCTCTTCTTCATGCACTTTCATACGAAACGAAAGTCTCCCTAACAATAGTATAATTTAACATCAACTTCGGCATAAGATCATTGAATAAGTGAAAATGTATAGTCTGCTAGGCATATGCAAAAGGGTAAAATTGGTCAGGATATGAGGTCCCGAGGTCGATTTGACTGTGCCTATGCTACAATTAAACCTAACCTTACAAGTACTCACAATGAAATACTCATCCAACATATAAAAAAGGGGGAAGGGCCTAGCAGTTTAAAATAGAGGAAAGAAAAACCTGGGACAAGGACCAGGAGAAACATATAGCGACGATATACTGCGGCTTTGGAAGCAAGTAATACGCTTGTACTTAATTTGTCACCATGGCTAAATGACCCGTTGTCTCAGATGATATTGCCTGAAGATACCGAGTACAATTCCAGCAGAGCTTACATGGACAGTCAACGCTTCAATAAGGAAAGGAGGCGTTTCAGGAAACTGGGTGCGAGGCATGTTCTCCAAAGTTCACTAGCGAATGGAGTCGAATTTCAAAGGTGAGGTAAAATCTAATCTAAATCCATTAACTTAACAAAAGCAATCTGGTGTGCATATCACACATGCTCCATTATTTTACAAAAGAACGACTGTTAAGGCAAAAACTATTGCTGACTATGCATAGATCAGTAGCGTATCGAGTCTATAAGAAGATATAAAGAAGGTTGATTTTGAGAGATTTGCTATTTCGAATTGAATGTATGATGAAGATAATCGAAATGAAGATCTCTCTAAGCTAACTAATATTTGGCTTTAATGGAATACTCTGGTTTAAGTTGTCCTCGAAGAAATCCAAATCGACTCAGGTAGAACTATTACCATCTTCGTGAGTCGCATGACAGATGTTCTTAGAGCAGAGTATCATCCATAAAACTAATTTTGATATATAAGAACTGGTTGGGCATAATTTAGACATAAGATTAGAGAGGGTCTTGAATCGAAAGAGATAATTCGCATGTTCTTTATCCAAACAGATTCCTATTAGTCTTTATTAATTATGAAAATATAAAGACCAAGATGGTGTGGCCCTCGGTATAGTCGGTATCCTTCCGATTTATACAAGCGGGTTCACCTCTTTTAAGCAAATTGGTCTTGTTGTCAGGGCGACCTAGTTAAACGCACCTTGTCCGAAGCCCTCTGCAATTATAGTTGTCATAATTCCCAGCATCAGACCTTAGACTTGGTACATTCTCAGACGTTGCTCCGGCAACGTGGTCGGCATCATAAGTGAGTTTTGCTATTTTCAGCACCAAGCTACAAACTCATCAAAGAGACAAGTGAAGTCAATCCCTAGACCAATGTTCTGCCGAAACGGTTGTGTTATCACTCCTCTATCCATCCTGGCCCATTAATCCACTCCGGCCCAATCACAACTTCTGACTTATTAAAATTTCACTCGTCAAAATGTTCGACTTATTTGCAAATTTATTGTGGCCTCATCAAACCTGCTATTCACCTTGGCCCCTTCTCTTTCGATCCGATAATACATCTCCGGCCTCCCGCCCCGATTTCCCTAATGGTCCAGTAGATCCGTTGCTTAGCTTTCTGGTTGGCCGATTTCACTTGGTTCCAGCCCCAGTGTGCGTTTTACTCCAGATGCTATTTCAAGGCCTTAGAAGCACGTACACTCCGAAAGACTTTCAAAAACTCCAGAGCATGACAGGATCTTTCCCTCAATGATAAAACGAAACGACCGTAAATTGCGTAAGTTTGGGATTATAAGACAGACTAAGTTAAAACAATTACGCCCAGTTAAAGTGGTTTCCGAAGTGACATTGAAGGAAATGAGAGCACAGAATTGTGTCAATAAGTCGATGGGCCATATGAAGTGGGATTGAGAGAAAGGAATGCGGCACTAGAAGGTAAAACAAAAAATATGAGCGAGAAGTAATGCCGCAACGGTTGAACAGAAAATTGGTAAAGGGGATTGCCTTCACTTGTTACTTAGGTAAGTTGCAACCATGTAGTGATGATGGCACCACTCACTGGTAATGTTGGCGAAACGGTTGGCAATGCTCCAGGTCAGTGGTTCGAAACTGGAAATCACAAATACTCAGGGAGAGGACACAGAACTGGGTACGTTCCACAAGGTCAAACCAACGCTAAAAAGAGCACTATGTTTATTTATGTCGATTTTCACAATTATGCTTGCTGTAAAACACAGAGAAATGAAAGACATTTAGGAATTTCATTATCAACTTGGGAACCGATAAAGTACATCTAACATACAAGGCAATGGCCCTTTCAGCTTAATCGTGACCTATATTTTGAACAGTAATAAATGAAGCCCAATTACCATTATGAAGTGTCCGTTTCTGTTCGACAGTAAGACTTGATGAGATTATTATTAATGATGCTTTTGCCCAGCTTATTGTTAACAGTTTGCAACAATTTAGATACCTGTTTCCTCAGTTGAGTAGTAATCCAATTTTTTATTCCCCATGTAACGGTGATTAAGATTACACGTAAACTGGCAAAAGTTTAGAATGATCAGAATCAAGCTAGCTTATTTTTGCACAAGTGGAAAACAGGTTAATTCTTGGTTAAAACTGATCTCGCTATCGAGTAGGTGTATGTTTTTTGTTAGCCTGCTAAGGAAGATGAGCTCATTGGTGAATCTGTCATCCATAAGATTTTTTCTGAAAAAAATCCAAGCGTTCTAGCCAGTTCCATTTTATAGCTTATTAAGGCAAAACCATGGCCAAAAGATAGAAGTCCAGGAAGGATCCAATTTCATCTTCGGGCTGGATTGGTCTTTAAATCCCTTTATCACAAATAATTAATTCATGACATACAAACATTTGCCCCTCAATAAGAATTAGAGGAGAATTTTTTGCCTAAGAAATTATACTTATGATTCAAAACAAAGAAGCTAGAAGCATGTGGCTTAAGTAGTTGATTCTTAACCGGCACGTCCTCAGTTCGAATCCCGTCGGGAATGCTGACGAGACGGAGGGTAGAAAATCCGTCGAGTCTTGGCGAGAGCCGCCTTTTGTGATACATTTTAAAGCAAATTTAAAACAAAATAAAGTATTTTTTGCACTTTATCTTAGGTGGACTCGCTATCAGTCAAATAATAAACTAGTGGAGAGTGAAGTACCTCGACAATATTCGTTATTGCATAACTGCGAAGTGAACATACGATTTTCTTAGTCTGAAGATGTTTACCACATGATAGATGATGGATCAACACACTTTCAAGGACTATGGCGACTCCAAGGACTGCCTAATGGAATAGATGCCTGTAGGACAACCACTATCTTCATTAAGTTCTTGGTGAGATGAATTAATAGATTATTCGCATCAGACCGACCCCCAAATAATGTTAATATTATCTATAAGCAGTCCCTGTGGTTCAAAACCAAGGCCAGATTTCATCTTTTTCCTAATCCATCGATGCCACAAGCAATTATAAAAGGATCCTCACTAGAGATCATATGTATCAACATGTTCAAGGCTTGAGTCCTTTTAAAAATTCCAAAAAGGCCAAGACGAGATAAACTCTAGCCCCGTATGAAAAAAAACCTTACTTTGGTGTGCATATTACCGCGAAATTTGCCAGCAAAATTAAAATCCCTCGATTCGTTGTGGGACAGTTGTGGCATGTAAGCAAACATCGAATGAGCGAGGTTAACGAGGCCGTCTCACTGTAGCGAACAAAGCTGAACTTGAAGGAAATAGTTAAAACGGGAATACTGCTGCTCGTGATACGGTGTAAGGCTAAGGGGGCATAAAAGGGAAATTGAAAACTCGGATTAAAGGATCGGCCGAGATAACTACACTGGCTCGGTCAAGCTAGTCCAATTACCGGCGTCAGATATTCTAAAATGGGAAATGGCATAAATGAGTAAAGTAGTGAATTGTAACGATGTTTACTTAAGCTCTAATAACAAATGCTCTTAAAGCTATTACAAACAATCAAAACCATTAAACTTATAATAGGGCAAGATATATCGCTCTTTAACTTGCCTAATATAACTACCGGACAAATAAGATGAGTATTCACGCTAACATTTAGCTAAGGATGGTTCATTAGATTCACTCATTAGATCAGTCCATTAGATATATTATGAAGGGTGATGAATAAATCGGAAAAAAAACTAGAAGTAAATGATGTAGAGTATTAGCCCGGATATGAACGCTAAAATAAGTAATTCAAACTATATATAAAAAGAGAAATGTTTAAGCAAAAAAATTAATTTATCTGATAAGAATGTTTATGATTTTGAGATTTTAAATGTTTTACACAAAATTTTAAATTAACAGTAAGCGATCAAATGCATAAGTTGCCCAGCTCTGACGATGTCCATCATATGATGGACGAAAGCTCAGCACGTTTTCACCCGAAACGAGAGAGGA